GCCATCCCCTCTCGCGGGTTTGAGTGGAAGCCGGAGCGGCACAGTGGACACAATGATACAAATGGTGCGTTTCTAGCTACTTGCCAAACCAGCGTTATAAATTGTTTAATAACCCTGTCCTCAAACATACCAGATGAAATTGCTCAAAGTCACTTACCTGCTTTCAGTCACTCTGCTTTACACCTAATATACGGCATTGACGTATGTTGGATTTTTTTATTTCAGATCACTCGTCCTGTTCTTCACTCACAGTATATTTATGGATGTGACCATGCGCATGCATGCAGGATGAGGTGGCCATGACCTGACAATATATTCACCGTATGCTTGCAACTAGATTAATATGCAGATTGTACCACCTGTGGTGGATTAGTATGCACATCGTTAATCGCCACCCATTGTCATCAGTGTCACTGCCTTTATTAAACGAACCTAAGGTCCTTCACCCTGTCGTGGCGGTTGGTGAGGACGCCCTGACCCGGTCCAGGCGCCGCGTCACCGACCCCAGCTGGACTGGACCGGACCGGACCAGACCAGACCAGACCAGACCGGACCGGACCGGGCCGGGCAGCCGCCGCGACGCCGGCCGTTCTGCCGGCGCGCGAGATGCGCGTGGGGCGGCACGGCTCCGGTGCGGCAGTGCGTGACCTCCGGCTGCCGACGGCCGACGCGTCAGGAAGCACGCGCTGCCGCCGGCGAAAGCGGCGTGCCGTCCTCGGGCGCGGCGTTATCGGCGCGCGCTGGACGGTGTCCGTCGGCAGTCAGCTGATGGCTACGGATCACCGGGTGGCGGAGCGCGCTACCGAGACGGAGGGAAAAGCTAACGTAAAAAATGGGGACGAGCGGGTTTCTCAACCGAATTCGACACCCTGTAACATTAGCAGTGCCAGCAGTAGTGATCATCCACTTGCTTTGTTCGAGGACGGAAAAAGTTATACAAAAAGGCGCCAACAGCAAGGGGTTGTGAAAGGAGGAAGTAGACAGAAAATGGGGCATGCCATCGAAAGGAATAACCACCAAACACCAAAATCTTTTGAATCGCGCCGTTTTTCCGCAGCTTTATGGATGGGTCTGGGCATGCACCAACACCATCCTTCAACTACCGCAGAACTTAGCCATCCACACAGTGTTTTTAGGCGTTCGCACGGGATAGTGTGGCACTTAGGTCGTGAGCGCTGATGACAGGAGCAGCAGCGGCGTGCGACCGCTCCGTTCGGGGGCAGATTGTAGCGGGACCTTGGCACCGCTGGCTGCCGCCTCAGCAGCAACCGCAAGCAACGCTCCGTAAGGAGGAGCGCTCTGCGGTGCGGCCGCGGCCGGGTCCCGGTCGGGGTCAGGAGCACGGCGGCGGGCCCTGGCCGGGGTCAGGAGCACGGCGGCGGGCCCTGGCCCTGGGCGGCGCAGCAGTCTGACCCCTGGTCACCGCTGCTGAATACCTGTCTTTGTATGCACATCCGGCGTATCAGTAGGCTAGCCGCAACACATGCTAAGTATGCGGCCAAGCGTGCGCCGTGATAACAATGCGAGGGCATTTGGTCACCAGATGCAGATGAAGATAACTTATTAAAAAGCGGTTAACATAGCCGGCACACCGGCACAATAAAATTCATGGATGCAATGCGACATCGAAAAGACGGCCACAACGAATATTTACGGCACTCTGTGCTGCAACCACACACCCAGCTTACTCTAAGCTTGGACGGCCTACCTCCCTTACCTTCGTTGACTCACGGCACGCGAGAAAGCCCTGCGGTTGGACTCCAGGGAGATCGCGGCCGGCGGTCTTCTCCAAGTGGCTGCAGCATGAAAAAGCCGGCTGCCTGGCCAGGAGAAGTCACCTGTCAAGCTGCAGCTCTCCCGCAGCGACCGCACTGGTTTCTGTCTCACACACCTGTGAGCGCCTTGCGAGAAGAGATTTGGCGTCCAATGGACGGCTATGTTTAGTGGGGGTTCCGAGCCCTTGCAGAATGTCAGCTTTGTCGCCATTCCAAGCGTGGACGATTGTTTTCTGTCTCCCGGTCGTTTTCGCCCCTGAAAAGGACGCTACTTTTCATGATCTTCTTTGTAGCATAAGTTATAATATTAACTCGTGTTTATGGTATTTCTGGTAATGCTGGTCCGCCATTTTAAATGGTTTGCGTATGGCGTAGAATGTAGTGTGACTAATTGAGCTTTTCAGTAGACAAAAATCGTTTGATGTGCATAATTACATACGCCATATCGGTACATACGGGAGACACTGCTCTATATAATTACTCTTTGGACGCTTCAAGCTTCATGAATTTGGGCGGTGCAGGGGCGCCATTGTCCACTGGGTAGATACGCGGCACCATCTCTGTTACACAAAATTCGATTTTTTAGCGGAGTAAAGCATTCTTGGGTGAAAGCTTTCTGATGTGTGAGGTAGGAAGCTAAATGCCTTGTTCGCTAGTGCAACAGATAAAGCCTAAATGATACCTTGAATTGCGCTAACACTAGCGATCTGAAAGCTTATGAAAACTTTTGAAATTACTAATTGACATTGAAAAAGAAGTTGCGGATTATCTGTTGCAGATAGAGTGGCTGTCTGACTGACGTTAGGCAAGCCGTTTAGGTACATAACGGCTTCTCTTCGTTGTTGGAACGTTGTTAAAACCGCCTTAGGACGTCCAGCGTGATATGGTTTTCATCCATTTCCCCATAAGTTGAGCGCAAGCAAGCAGTTCAAGCACCTATCTACCACTCGGATAACTTCCGTGTTATGTCGTGCACAACTTTTGAGAAGGTTAACAGCAAAATAAGAAACGAAAAACAAAAACAGCTCGATTGTCTGCGTCCAGCGATCCTTTCATGATTTGGTGCATACAGATATAGAATGTCACTCGGGGTCGTGATTTATCGCATGTCATATGATCATTACTGATCATGGTCTTGCGCGGCTGACCGACCAGTTCGGCTGACTGGTGACGATCATTTTCAACGGTCCGTAGCACACACGCATACAGCTTCCATCTATTTTGCGTAGAGTAGCACAGACTCGTTTGGAGGCACCCAGTATCAGACGACAGCCCCTCCATCGGTGCCTCGGAGTCACGCAAGCTGTTTCATATTACACGTAAGGCCATGCAGCTACTTGGTACTTGGTATTCTGGTGCAGGGAATTCTGCTGGAGAATCAGAGCGGAAGGTGTATGAGTTGAACCGGTTTTTGCCCTCGGCGAGTTCACCTCTAAAAAGTCGCAGGCCGCCGCAGCGGATTGACGTCGGCGGAGGAGAGGGCCACCGCGGTCGATCTCGACTCCCTGCGTCGGCCACGTGCGCCGAGCAGCGCTCTCCCGCGCCGTGAGTGCCGCCGCGGCCGCGCGGCGCGTCACAGCCGGTTCAGCGGTCGCGCTTTGTCGCCGAAGTCGTGACGAAATGGTCCCTGGCGTCCAGACAGTCATGTTTCCGCCAGCCGGCATCGCCGGGCAAAAAGGGTGCTCACGACTAATGGCGGCTAGTGGGTCTGCGACCAACTTCAATAACACATTTATCGTGCGTGAGGGTTCTTGTGAAACGCACGCCCGGGTCATCTCTCCCGTAACGGTGCTCTGCTGACCTCTGGGTCAGACAGTTTTGATAATGATTCTGTGGATGATCGTGAAATGTACATCGCAAACGGCTGAACGGCTGGTGATGCATTTTGCACAACAAGCGGTTTCAAGCTCTCTGACGATTAGTGCCATAAATTCGGGCATGCCCGGCACCGGTTTCGGTCATAGCGCGTGCAGAAATGTAGCATTTTTGACATCGAGATATTGAAAGCCATGAGAGGATAAAGCGTTGATGTGTCCGGCGCTGAGTGCAAGTCGCGTCGTCTTACAAGGTCACCTCTTGAATGTGAGGCCTGCCATATTATATTTATTCCACGGAGTCCGGGTTCCTGTACGTTTTTTCATTACGATTTTTTCCCCGTTCAATCCCTGTCCTGTACGATTTTATGACACACGAGCGTTATCTCAAGCGAATTTTCCCATAATGTCTGTCTTCTGTTGGATTTGTATCCCGAACGATCTGAGCCGTTCCATCTCTGTCCATACGACCTTTATGATATGTGATCCGTTGCATTATGGTCGTTATCCCATGCGATGTGTATCCTGCATGGTGGTTTGAATGTCATTTTTGGACGTGACATATTTTTCTTGTAATCTTTTACTATGCGTTGTTTTACCCGGCCGTAGTGGTACCCAGCCGTGGTAAGCTGCGCGTCTGGGAAACCAGAAGCATGAGGCTCGATTCCCCGGGATGCTCGCCCTTCCTGCCAGGGTGAGAGGCAGGCGACGCCATACAGCGTCAGTAGCTGAGTACGTCGTAAAGTCCGAATCACACACACACACACACACACACACACACACACACACACACACACACACACACACACACACACACACACACACACACACACACACACACACACACACACACACACACACACACACACACACACACACACACACACACACACACACCACACAGCACGCACGCACGCACGCACGCACGCACGCACGCACGCACGCACGCACGCACGCACGCACTCACGCACGCACGTACGCACGCACGCACACACGTACGCACGCACGCACGCACGCACACGCACGCACGCACGCACGCACGCGCGCACGCACGCATGCGCGCGGCTGGCCAATGGTAACAGCATTGCCGATGGTCCCTCGAACGGCAGGTTAGAGTACAACAGTGCACACAACGCTATGATTTGTCGTGCTCTGAAAGCTTAGTTACATTTGAATGGTTATGAAACATGCAGGTTCCGGAAAAAATGCACATACACCACCGTGGGTAAACACACGCGACCGCTGCTTCCAAGGTTACACTGTCAGTTTCTTTCACTAGAGATTTGCTCGGAAAGACACTGCCGCAAAGACAATCTAGATCACACTCGTAGAACGTTCGTATCATTTCTTATGATGCCCTGATTTTGAAGCATTGCGTAATGGTCCGCAGCTAACCACGTCTTCTTTCCAGGTACTGTGGGCGACAACCGATGGCGGACTGTGGGCTCCGTCACAGCACTAGAACAGCGGGCTCTAGCAATCACCGACCGGCCATCGGGCCAGGAAGGGCTCAGTTTGGGCTCCAGGCAATCAGAGGCCATTGGCTCAGCTGCGCAGCAAGAATCCTCCGAGGCGTTCGAACCGAACGAAGGCAGCGGCGCCGCAATACTCGGTGCAGATGCTCAAGACCTTTCCACCTCTCCTGGGGGGAACGATGCAGTGCTGAGTGAGGTGGGAGGGATTTTAGGGGGTACAGGGGACATAGAGAGTGGTGCTGCGTGGGATCTGGTGCTAGAACCCGATCGGCAAACGAAGGACTCGAGTGGGGACGCACACGAGGCGCAAGACGAATCAGCCGATCTGCTTTTTGACGAGACGTTTTCGTCGAGTAGTCAGCTGTCGCCCGCCCGCGGTGAGGATGGAGCGGCGAATCACCGGGGCAAGAAGCCAATGTCTCCTGCAGGCGCGGTGTCCGCCACGGATCGGACGTCCGTTGTCGGTGCTGACCAGGATCCGGAGGCTTCAGCGTCATCAGCGTCATCAGCGGCTGCCCCGACAGCTGTGCCGGAGGTGTCGTCGCAGGGGTCACCAGACGCGACAGGCATCCCAGAGGGACTGGCGGTGATGTCGAGTCAGGCAGAGCCAGTTGCGCCCAAGTCTGCGGCGGTGGCGTCCACTGGGCTCTTCAGCGTCACCGCCCCCGACCTGACCGGAGCATCGACCTCCCCGCCGGCGAGCGCGTCCACGGATGCCACGCCCGCCGACGCCGGCGACCCCGAGCCGGCCTCGCCGACCCCGCCCTGGCGGCCCGTCTCCAGCCCGCCGGCCACCACCGGCCGGCCGCTGCGCAAGAGCAACCGTCGCAGCGACCCGGACATTCACACCGTACTCAACAACATCCTGAGCATCATCGGAGGCGACGTGCGACTGCGCGGCGCGGGCGCGCCGGCGGCGACGACGCTGCCCGGCCGCCGGCCGCCGTCGCGCATCAACAATCGCGGCCCGCCGCTGTTCGTGGCCGTAACCCGGCCGGCGCCGGCTCCGGTCAGCAGTGCGCCGCGCCGGCCCCCGACGGCATCCCCCTCGCCGACCGAGCCGGCCGTCGAGTCGGTGCGGTTCACCGTCCGGCCGGAGATGGCTGGCCCGGTCGGAGGGGAGGGGGCGGAGGGAGCGCCGACACCGGCGCCGACCAGTCCCGTCGTCACCGAGGCGCTGCCGGTCGGGGAGGCGGCGACGACGCCGCCGCCGGTACAGGCGACGCCGCTGCTGCCGTCGGCACCCTTCACGGTGTCACCAGCTGCGCCAAAGGCGCCTGATGGCCCTTCTCCGGACCAGGCCCCCACCGAGGACGCCGTGCCTGTCGCGCCGGAACTCGATCGTAGCACCGACTCGCCGACCCCCGACAGCACCGGCGCCGAGCCGATCAGCAGCACGCCTGTCACCTCTAGTCCGTCGACCAGCACCGACCCTCAGTCCGCCGACCTCACCCCCACTCCGCCGACCAGCGGCGACCCTCAGCCCGCCGACCCCACCCCCACTCCGCCGACCAGCGCTCCGGTCACGGGGCCGCCGCCGCCGAGCACAGCAGCCGCCACCTCGTCCACTGCGGCCACGCCGATTTCGTCGCCGTCCGCTGGCGACGTGGAGACCGAACTGACGTTGCCTCCTGTTGTCACGGCGCCCGCGGCTGCGGCGGATCCGAGCCTGACCTTAGCGGGGCATGGCAGCGCTGAGGACGGTCCGACATCAGCGGCGCCTGACCTTACGGCGGGGCAGGACCTGACCCCGCTAGGAGTCGGAGAGCAGCATGAGTGGCGACGTGGGCATCGCCACTGCAGCGCCCCCTGCGCCGGTCTCCGTTCCCTCCATCGCGGACGGCGGCGAGCCGACCACGGCGGGCCCGGCAGCGGCCGACACGGAGCCTGCCGTCTTTCCCGCCGGTGAGGTGGAGCTGGTGACGGACCTGGCCTCCGCGGAGGCCGGCGCCTCCCCCTCCGTCTCCTCCACTCCCGCCGTCCAGGGCGCGTCGTCACCGACGGCGCCGCCGGGCGGCCGGCCGCGGCCAGGCGCGTCGCCGGAGCGGGGCTGGCTCGGCCCGACGCCGCCGCTGCGCGCCGTGTCCGGACGGCCGGGGCTGGTGCTGGACGCCACGGCGCCGCTGAGGCCGGTCGGTGCGCGACCCCGGCCCCAGCAGGAGCCGGCAGTTGTGACCGGGTCGCCCCCGGGCGTCGGTCAGGTGGTGGACGTGACGGTGACGGCGGCGCAGTCGTTTGGGGCCGCCGCCAGCCGGCGCGTGCCCACAGGCCAGCCGTATGTCATCCCAGGTCAGTTGATGCGCCGGCGCGACTGAGACGCCAACCAGGGCCTGCTAAAAGCCTACTCTGAAGGAACTGGTCATCTCGCTGACGCTATCCGAGGCGCTTGGGCGCAGGCCAAGCCGTAGTTGTTTTGTTTTTGAGTTGACTGATCCTGCGTTTGGAGCCGGCTGGTCACAGCCTGGGCTTTATTTGAGGTACGCTGCCGTTTATGCTCACCTCGCCCCTCCCCCTCATATGGGCCCCACTTACGTATACAAACGTTTTTCCGACATCGCCGGCATTTATGGCATTTCCGACATTCGACATAGCCCACTTAAAATGGCGGAAAAAGTTTACACTGCCCCGCACCCCATCCTGCAAATCACTTTATGAAACCTCGTCTCAGCAGCTGGTGACTGAGTTTGCCGTATCTCCGCCAAACATCATCTTGCGCATTCTCAGGAGCCTAGGTCGCAATCACCAGGGGAGTGGCGGCGGTGTTCTGCTTGCCTCAAATGGCAGCGATTCGTCTGCGGAAGCACAGTGAGCGTGACGGCGACGCTCGCAGCGGACGTGGGCATTGTTACCAACATTTCGTCTTGGAAAGCCATCAAAGTTGTTGCTTTTGAGATTGCGTGGGTGGCTGTGCTTCGGTCTGCCCACCCGCACCGGTCGCCTTTGACACCTGGACAAGGTGCTCGCAATATTCAGCGGTGGCGTGACCCGCAGTGGACATCAACGAGCTGCGCCAGCCGGGTGACATCATCACGGAGCCTGACCCGACCAACAACTTTGTCTCGATCGACGGCCGACGCACGTACTTCAGCCTGGAGCCGACCGACGTCTCCCGCAGGGGCTCCTACCAGGTGAGGTCACGAGGTCGGCCTCCCGCCGCGGTCAGCGGCGCCGGCGGACCGGTCTGACCACTGCCGGCGCAACTCAGCGGAAGCGATGTGCTATGAGGTGACGTGTTGTGAGGTTACTGCTCTGAGCGGGCTAAGTGGCTGTGCAAATTAATCAGCTCTTTGCAGGACGCGATTTCCTTTTAATTGAAGTGTATTAAATTCGCATGAAGGCGGATATTAATTCATGATAATGGGATCTGAGAACATTTTGAGCACCGATAACTGTGGAAGCCTGAAGTGAGTGGACCGGGCGGGGATTATGCAATGCACAATTCCTGTCCGGTCCGTCGAGAGTCGTCGTTACGTCTGATGTATTCATTTGCAGGTCATGCTATCAAAGCCAAAACGAGGCTAACCACGCATCATATATGTTGTTTTCAATGTCAGATTTTGACAGCTTTCTAGACTACACCATCAATGAGCAACATCTCGAAATGATCCCGGCTACCCCCCCCCCCCCTAAATCATTCACTGGACGAGACTGAGCACTGATGAATCGATTCGGCAACTCCGATAATTCGCCTACCTTTTGTTGTCAACGATTGATGCGGACAATGCCAGGCCCAGTTCATAAAGCCGTGGAATGTCTCGCGCGGCGTGCTGGCCCAGTGCCGCCCTCTCGTGCCCACACAGTGCCTGACCAGCTCCCCGTGTGTGGCCCGGCAGACGGTGGGCGCCGGTGTCGGGTTCGCCGGTCAGGCGCGTCCGCAGGCGGCGGCGGGCGCCGTCGCTCCGGCCTGGCGACGGCGGCCGTCGCCTCGACCCCGGCCCGACCAGAGCAAGGGGCCGGCCTACCCGGTCCAGCGGCGCCGGCCCTCGCCGCCGCCCATCAGGTCAGGCTCACCGCTGCCAACGGACAACGGGACGGTGATGGCCTGCGGGGCTTGTTAGGCGGAGATTGTTTTGAACCTGTAATCATCGTTAATAAGTCACTCCGACTTTTGAGATGGGACGTGTGCATTAGGTTCAGCAGAGGCCGAAAGGCTGTGCGCGCGTTGTATCGCCTGGCAGAAATGAAGCTAAAAGTCATGTTTGTTTACGAAACACCAACAGCTTAAGACAATCGGTCTCTGGTGGCCCGCAAAGTGCAGTTCCGTTTAAGTCGAGCTAGCCGAAGCAAGCATTCCTCCATTTTCACTCAGCTAGCCTTTTGACATGCTGTTGAGCTCCACTGTTCACATTTGGCCGCGCGTGCACACAGGATTGACACGTGCATCGTGGGAGACGACAGCACATGCAAGCGAGACTTCAACGAGCGCTGCCTGACAGAGGGCGGCGTCTCCTCGTGCGTGTGTCGGCCCGGCTACAGTCGACTCCGGCCCCGCACCGCCTGCAAACGTGCGTACTCCGACGTACAGTCGACTCCGACCTCGCGCCGTCGTCACGTGACCAATCCGGGGCTGGCCCCGCGCCGCTGCAATCGGGTCACTCAAGCAGACATTGCACTGTGGTCGGACGTGAATACTCTGTGGTGACGCCGATCCGGACTCTGCACTGGCTGTGAGCGTATTCGCTTTTTGCTGGCCTCGTGTTGCCTGGTCACGTGATTGATCCGGATTTCAGTCGACTCTGGCCTTGCTCTTCACATGCGGGTGCTGAGGGCCATGCTGGCATCACACAGTTGACCGCGGCGTCAAAATGGCACGACCTTTTTCATTATGTAATGTTTGTCGGAGACGGGGACCGGGCGTTCGCTTTGGATGCTGTTAAGTTAGTTTCAATAAGAGTGCCTTTATAATGCTGCACATTTTATTAACAACAACAAAATCTTGACGCTCGATGAAAATTGCGGCCTGCTAAGATATAGCGAGACGTTGAGAGATGCTGTCTTTGCCCTACCAGCGAGTCCCACCCACACCTTGAGCCACACGGGCAGCCGCTGCAGGCCAGCAGCTCACGCGCCGACCCTGTGCTCCGGGCGTGGTGTCTGTCGTCATGTCGGTGCAGGCCAGCGGCTCACGCGCCGACCCTGAGCTCCGGGCGTGGTGTCTGTAGTCATGACGGTGCAGGCCAGCAGCTCACGCGCCGACCCTGTGCTCCGGGCGTGGTGTCTGTAGTCATGACGGTGCAGGCCAGCGGCTCACGCGCCGACCCTGTGCTCCGGGCGTGGTGTCTGTAGTCATGACGGTGCAGGCCAGCGGCTCACGCGCCGACCCTGTGCTCCGGGCGTGGTGTTTGTAGTCATGTCGGTGCAGGCCAGCGGCTCACGCGCCGACCCTGTGCTCCAGGCGTGGTGTCTGTCGTCATGTCAGTGAAGGTGGATGGTGTGGACAAGCAGCGCCTCTCCTGGAGCCCCGACTTCAACAACCCCGAGACGGAGGCGTACCAGCAGCTGGCCTGGGATGCCCGGCGAGCGGTCAGTGCGGCAGCACGCTCGCGCGCCACACTGCGGCGGGTGGCGCCACTGCCGGAGTGGCAAGCCAGTGGGGTGTCGCGCCGCAGACATCATGTGCTCTGAAGAGTATGCTTGTGGCTAGAGAGTTTGGCATGCGTTGCGCATTGCACTTTTTATGGCCGTGCCGATTTTCTCTGCAGTGTCGGGCTTGTTCAACTCCTAAGTTAGACAAAGTGGTCGCAGTAGGCCTCAATAAGCGTTGGGATTACAAAAGCAATCATGCATTACATCCCACATGCTTCAGTTTCGCAGCTGGCGGCCCGCGCTGTTCCATGCTGTGCTTTCGTGCTGTTCCAGATTAACTCGGCCATGACGCAAACGACCATGAAGGACATCTACATGGGGAACGAGATAAACTCGTTCTACTCGCTGGGCGGCCGTCTGATCCTAAACACGACGGTCAGCCTGCTGGACACGGCGCAGACGCGCCGGCGTGAGGTGAAGAACGAGCTGCAGCGTCAGATGATCCGAGTCATCAAGGCCAAGGACAACAATATCGGCGACTCGACCCTGTTCGTCGAGGGACCGCTTAACCCTATACCGGGAATCCAAGGTGGGACGATGGGACGGCTGGGGCGTGGTCTTCCAAATGCGCTTGAAGGACACTGCCACGTTGGCGGTGCGTTTCATTGCATGCTACGTAAACAGATAGAGGGAAATTAAGTTGGGTCGGCAGACTCCTTAGCAGCGGATGCAATACGATACGATGCCCCTGTGTTCTGGTGATGCCTTTGTCTCCAGTAACGTTTGCGGGTCTCGCTCCTAACCAATCGTCCAGTCCACGGCAGCACGTCTTTTCTCTTCTATGATGCGCCTCAACATTTGGAAAGTATATGTATGCCGCAGCACAGAAGTAAGTTGTGCTGACGCTACTCTGCTCTTGGCCCCAAGTTACTTTTCCATAACGAGCATGTGTGACATGCTTCCAGATTTGAATGAATGTAGCGGCCCGGGTCTCCACGACTGTGACGAGAATGCCGTATGCAGTAATGTGTTTGGTAGCTTTCTCTGCCGCTGCCAGCCGGGATACGACGATAGGTACGTAAGCAGGCCGCGACCGCCGGCGAAATGCCGACAGACACGCTAGGCTTAGCAGGAGGTCAGCCGGACGAGAGATGACGTTGTCAGTTGTGGCCGGCACGACCGGCAGTTTCGAAGCCAAAAAAGCGTAAATCAAGGCGTAAATCGTCACTTGAAGCTGTGTGTTCGGCGTTGTTTTGGTGACGTCTTTAGCAATACTTGGCGGTGTTGCAAGTAGTGATAGACAGGTGGGCACGAGGCTACCAGGCGCCGATGGTCGCCGGAAGCGGGTATTGGAGTCAGGCGGCACGGTGCGGTGTGGCTAGCGCGCGGAGGGCCCGACTGAGGACCACCACCTACCCCCAGGTACCGAAGCGACGTGGCGCGGGCGGGCCGCCACTGCGAGTCCTGCTCAGAGGACTTCTGCGGCGGCCACGGCACCTGCCAGATCAACGACGGACAAAAGTCCTGCCTGTAAGACACGGTTCAGTGCCGCGCCGCTGGGCGACGGCCCGGATAGAGCGAGCGGTGCGCAAAGCCAACCTTCCCGCTACATGGGCTAGTATATACCATAATAGAGCATGGCTACAACACATGGATGCAGCAATATCGGGATTAGCGTCAGCCGAAGATCGCGAACGGCGAAACAATGTGCGGAAGGCGGCATGGTTTGTAAACCACCGGTGAATGTCAGTGGGACGGCCAGACGGTGGACCTCGTAGTGTAGCTTCGTCTTTCTCTCGACAGATGTCGCGGCTCATACTACGGGGCGCGCTGTGACATTGACGGCGAGGTGCTGGGCGCGGCGCTGGGTGCCACGGCCGCCGCCGCTCTCGTCATCATAGCTACCTTCATCGGACTCTGCAAGTGGAGGTAACGATGCGGCTGTTGAACGTCGTCGCCACGCGACGAGAGGACACCGACAGGTGCAGTTACCGTTACGCGGGGTGGGGGCGTGAACATTATCCTTGTCGGGAAAACGATTATCTTTAAATACCATGTCAGCAAGTCGAAGTAGTATGTTACAACGGGAAATAATTTATCTAATCAGCTGGTGACAGGGGTGGATGGGGCAAGCGTCACCATATGCACCGATCGGTGCGGCTCAAACGCACCCGATCTGATGACTCGTCCCTTTCACCGGCCATCACCAGCTCGCGCTGTTCTGCCGGTGTGAGCTCGAGCCAGCTCTGCCGCCACCCTCCCTGACCTGCCGCTATCGTCCTCCGCAGCAAACGCTGGCACAAGGGCCAGAGCGACGGCAAGGCGGAGGTGGGCTCGCTGGCCGTGCCGGGTGGCTTCGGCTACGGGAAGCCGGGCGGCGGCCTGGGGCCGGCGGGCTTCCCGCCCGTCAGGGAGGACAGACTGCGCTGGGCCCGGCTGGCTGACACCATGGCTCAGCAGAACATCTACGCGGTGAGCGGACGGCGTGGAGCAGGACGCAGGCGACGATCGCCAGCGCGCCGTGCCGAGCACCACGGCCGTGTGTAGATGTGCTCGTGTAGATAGACGTGCGGGGCTACAGGGCTGATGCATGAGTGGAGTATTTCCGTGGATGTGGACAGGGCCGGTGTAGTGGGATGCATAGCGTTGGTAAGCTGAGGAATAGTCGTAGTGCCTCCTGTTTACTCGCTTTGTAGCGCTGACTATTCACCGTGCTTAGGTAGTAGCGGATTCTGTGTTCTAGCTGTTGAGAACTAGTCGTCACAGGTTATGTCAGGGAGGGTCCGTCCTCGTCTGTATCTGGTCTCAATGTCAGCAGGCGGCTTGTTTCCCGTGTTAGTCGCTCGCTGACAGCTCTAGACTGTCGCCACTTTCTGTAGCCGATACGTGACAATGACCGTCCTCGACTCGACGCTGCCGCTCGGACGCCGACGACGCGCGGCGCCGGCCGCGTGTGACCCAGACCTGAGCCGCTGCCGCCTGACGCCGCCAGGTGGCGCTCGCTCCCCTGTACGCCGCCCCCCTGGCGGTGGAGCGGCGCGGCGCGCTGCTGCCGCTCGGCCGAGCGCCGCCGGCGGCCGGACCCGCGCCTCGGCGGGGCTCGGCCGCCGGCGCCAGCCTCGCGCTCTCGCTGCCGCCCGAGCGGCGGCGCGCGCCGAGCCGGCGCCGGCGGAGGCACGCTAGCCGCAGCGGCCGGCGCCGACACGGCCCCGACCCGGCGCCGGAGCCGGCCGCGGCGGCGGTGGGGCCGGGCCGGCCGGTGGCGCTGGAGGCGAGGGTAGGCCGGCACAGCCTGCAGCTGGGCCAGCGCCACTGCCGGACACCCCGACTGACCTCTCACTGGCAGACGGGACACTGGGACGCCGACCTGACTAGGTTTGGTGGAAAGTCCACCGATAAAGTTAGTACCACGCATGGCAAGGATGTGTATTGGGAAACTAAACCTGCTTGCGCTGATGTTGAGAAATTATTGCTGATACATGCGTCACTTATGATCTGCATATTTTGGTCTGTGATACTTTCACATAAGTTATCGTTGTTTGGAGGCAGTAAAGTCTTAAGTTACATACGAAAATGTAAATCAACCTTGAAAGTCTTAAATTAGATGAACTTAAACAAGGAGACGGTTTAACTGGCATTTGCTCTTATCAAGTTCCCTGTTGGGGGAATTGACTACAATAAAGCTAGTTCGGACGTCATGTTGGTATCACAGAAGAGAGCCAACTTCCCTCTATGTTTCACCAGTCTTGCGGCATTGGGGGCACTTCGGCACATTGCATCCAGTGATGATAGACATTCCTTTTTTAACTTCGACCGCACGGAAACGGGATGAGACAAATCCGCAGAAGATGAGACAAATCCGCAGAATGGAACGCGTGATACCTCACCTCTCTCCATTTCTATGACGACGGAAGACTGACAAAAGACCCGGCGCGATGTGGAGTGTTGCATGCATTTTGCGGGCATGTGTGCAACGGAATCCTTGCGTATTGCACTTATCTTGTTGACTTATCCTTATGGCTTACCTAGCCGCCTTGGAAAAATGTTCACCCACGCCTCTAGTAACAACGCATGAGCTGAAGATCTTCTTGCGCACTGTAACACCGTATGTGCGTGCTGGGCTGGCGGTTTTTTTCTTCTCTTGCCAGGATCTGGGGACGCCTTACACATCGGTGACGATGGCTAACTCGCCGATCAATCAAGATATTGTGCTTCCAGACTCCGATCAATCCAGACTTTGCCGTGTCAATATCCCCCTGTCCGATATTTGCTGTGAGCTTGTGACTGTCCACTGACCAGGTTATGCTGACCGTTGTCTTACCGTACACACGTGAGAAGGTCTGTACTTGGCCCATGCTGATAAGCCCGCGTAAGGCGCGATCAGCTCTCAGATGACCGTCGCATGATTTTCTACCATGCTGGCTTGTCCTGGCCGTCGTCTCCACTGACCGTCTGCTTGTACCTGGTCTGCTAAGGCGCGATCAGCTCTCAGATGACCGTCGCATGATTTTCTACCATGCTGGCTTGTCCTGGCCGTCGTCTCCACTGACCGTCTGCATGTACCTGGTCTGCCAGCCGGAGCCGATGTTCGGCGGTCCACCCCACTCCCAGCTGCCGCCGTACGGCGCCCAGGCCGGCCTTGGAGCAGGCACGCTGAGGGACGGGCCCGCCAGCCTCGGTATGGCAGGTGAGTCGCGCAGGGTGTACAGGCGCCGGCCGCAATGAATGGGTAGTCATGTCGGGTGGCCTTGAAATCTCTGCTGAGCTATGCGTGTGTTTAAATTTGCATCATCATTCTAATTGGACGGTTGTCGTGTAATGCTCCCAGTGTTCTCGAAAATAGGCGAAGGTCTCCCATGAGATTTATTCGTACTTCAAGGTGGTTTTTGCTTGCTGGCTTTGGGCAAGATTAGGTGGACGTGGTTTACACATCTGATGCCGCTTATCACCTCCTTCAGATGGGAGACGTATGCCCGTAGCCTCCTCCGAGTCCTTTGTGAGCCCTAATGTCCCGTCCCTGACCGCGCACCCCGCGTCGGCAGGCGGTCGTCCGGTGTTCGTGGCGCCAGTGCGCCGCTCGGTGACGCCGGTGACGCTGCCGGAGCGGCCGGCGCCGGGCCGCGGCAGTCGCACGCCCGTGCCGCTGCCCGACTACGACGACGACCGGGACGAGCGGCAGTCGTGTGTCAGCGGCTACCGGCCCGTGCGGCCTCGCTCCCGCGGCTCGGTCGCCCCGGTCAGTGGAGAGATGGCCGTCGTCGTCCCCCGCCCCCCGCCCCGACCCCCGCACTCATCTCTGACCATAGCGTTGACACGCTGTCTGTCTGTCTGTTCACGGGTGATCGCACTGCCCTCCAGTCACAGCTGCAGCAAGGAATCAAACTTATGCGCGGAAGTCCGACGAGCTACCGAGTCGTGTGCCATTGCTCTGGGGGAGCTTATGGGTCTGGGGGATGTGTTTCGTAGACATCAGGCATGCATGCAGGGGGTTAAGGCATGACAACATATCACGTGGAGAACATGCTTGTCGAGTGTCTGGGTGGGCTCGCATGTGTCGTGTTTTGCGGATGTATGCATGATCTCTTTGCACCGTGACTGCTTTGCCGTGGTTGGTGGCACGAAAAGCAGTGTATTTGGATGGTGGTGATCAGTTTCATGCCTCATTCCACGAAAGGAAAGCACTCTGAATCAGACCGACCGCTGACGTGGGCTCCGTCCCGTTTACAGTGCTACTGTCCGCACACATCCCGTGGGAGTCACCCTGCTGCTCCCGCCAGCCGGTCCTCCTTCCGACACCGGTCCGGCTCGACCCATGACCTGGTCCTAGGCCCCGTCTCTCGCCGCAGCTCGGCTCGCTGTGTCTCCCGGTGCGCTCTGCCCGGAGGCACCCCGCCGCCCCGACCCGACGGCCGCAACCGCGACCCCAACCCTGACCCTGACGGCGACCGAGGCCCTGACTGTGACCGTGACCGTGACCGTGACCGTGACCGTGACCCTGGCCGAGACCGAGGCCGTGACGACAGTCTCAGACTGGGTGAGAGGAACGACAGCAGGAGGCTGGCCTGGGAAGGTATGACGCAGGTACGGGGCTCGTCAGAAGGTTTATGGGCGTACAACGCTGGGGCTCAGACTGGCGGGCATGATGGGTGATCCTAGAAGGAGTGCATGACCATTTTTCGAGGGCAGCACGCTAAGGGTCCATGGATGTTGCAAAGGCCAGCACAGTAGAGAAGTGCTTCCTGAAAGACGCTGTGACTGACATGGTGCTGGGGGTTTCTCACAGTGCGCAATGAGAGTATGTGGTAGCAATACCATGGCACATCCATTTAGCCTGAGTTAAATCTTGAAGACGTATTTGTGCTTACTCGCCCGTTTATAAAGTAGATTATGTATGCGTACTTAGCAAGGTGTTCATGTGCGTTGTAACATGTTTGATGCGTTGAACATCGCGTGCTGTAGTTTGAGGAGGCTGTTGCAATGTTTTGACTGCCGCGCTTTCAGATTACGAGGGCTGCACATCAGGTTGTTGTCATACTCTGTCGCCGCATCGCATCTTATCGACACGTGACACTGCCTTTGCATACACCCGTGATACTCGTGAGAAACACCTGCATCGTGGGAGACGCTGGCGGTCATGACCGTGTGGGCGCAGGCGTCGCAGCTGGAAGTGTGCATCTCCCGCTGACACTGTTCTCGTCCGGCAGAACCAGAGCCTGGTATATTACGACATACACGACTTTGAGCAGCGGGACATGGGTCGCGGCACGACGCGGGGACAGCCGCCAGCGCCGCTCTCCACCTACAGCAGCCGAACCAGCAACTACTTCAGGTAGACACGTGATCAGGGGGCCCGGAGCGGGGCGCGCAGAGGCCGTGACTGCGTGTGGAGAGAGGGCCGAGACATGCTGCCGGCCCGACGGGGGACTCTGTCGACAGAGAGTGGCGGTGCTTTACGGCGCTGTACCCGTTGTGGAGTGGTGAGACAGAACGTGTGGAGGGCCTCGGGCAGTGTGGAGGGCCTCGGGCAGTGTGGTGGACCTCGGGCAGTGTGGTGGGCCTCGGGCAGTGTGGTGGACCTCTGGCAGTGTGGTGAGCCTGAGCACGGCTCCAAAGGCTGGCCGCTGCAGTTGCAAGGAATAGGTGTATTCAAAGAGTGGGGACTTAGTATGTTCAGCTTGGAGACTTGCCCGGTCTCCCGAAGACATGCGTTTTGTTCCGTGCCGATGGGCGATTTGTGAGCATCCATGAGTGAATGGGTAGAGCGTGCTGATTTGAAAAATGTGTGAGCATCGAAGTAGCTCTTTTCGTACGGCGCCCAGTGTGTTTGTCAATGTGCAACACAAATACATTATTCAACATGCCAAGCGAACTGTTTAAATCACGCTGAAACACTGCCTCGGCGTCCACTCACAGTCTGGCGAATAACCACTACGGAACACTCAGACATTCCCCGACGTCTTCCACTTCAAGTCACAGGATAGTATGACATGAATAACTACGCTCCGATCATTTTGAACCCATCTTGCGCTATTCGCCGCTCAAACATGATTCCCTCAGACTAGAATGGAACAGCATGCGGTTTCCCGTCGTTCCGCCGATGGACGCTATACTGATTTTCAACTCCTTCAATTTCGCTCATCACCTGTTTGAAAAGGCCGACCATGTTGCACTCACCACTGCCACTAGATTCTGGTGTTTCAGTCAATGGAAGCTGGAGCGGGGTCATTTTACACCGCCCTGTAAGTTAAATAGGCACGGGGGATCCTTGTCGTGCCACGAAGCTCCTCGACACAGAGCTGTATGGTGGACACTCGCAGCAACATGTGAGACGGGTCTGTCTTTTGAATGTGACGTCCATCCTGTCACTTATCGCCTCCGCCCTAAACTGGCCTCGGCCTGATGGACTCGTACTCGCATTGATTTTCGTGCATGACCTATACGAGATCCCAGACACCGTTTGCCGGCTGCTGGTCAGGCCCTCTGACCATACCCGTCACCCATCACTGTTCAAGCACATGTGTCGGTGCGCACAGCCAGCTCAACATCCATACAGACTGTCCTCCAGGGCGTTTTCGCCCAGGTGTACGTGACACCCGATGCAAGCTGCCGTGCCCCGTACACGAGTGAATGCCTGAACTAGCAGTCAAACTGACTGCAGCCGTTGTGGAGGGGTCAGCCACGCTCGGTGAGGCTGACCCCAGCCCAAGTGGTAGCTGGTAAACACCACGAAACGAGCCGAGCGATCCCCACTGACTTTGACAAAAGTTCAGCGGGGCATCGCTGCAGAGCGCATCCCCAGTTGAGTGGGAAGCCCGCCCTGGTGGAGCCGAAGTCGCCCTAGTTGAGCTGGAAGCCGCCCATGTCCGTGGCGGTGACCTCGATCACGTGGCTGGCTTGCGAGTGCTGGGATTGGCGCGCCGCCAGCTCTAGCGCCTCGTCTAGGAACTGCTGCACGCGTTCGCGGTAGTCAAGCGTGCTGGTGGCCGGCAGGCCGTTCTCGGCGCAGAGCGGGTTGACTCGGGTCACCTGGCAGCCGGGCGGCGGGCAGGGCGCGCCGCTCACCAGGGCGGGCGGCGCCGGCCGCGTCAGCGAGAACTCGGGCGCCCGCCAGCCGCGCCAGGCCACGCGCGCCGTCAGCAGAGACCAGGAGAGCTCGAGCAGCGCCGTCACCAGCAGGTTGGCGCTGGCGGCGGCCAGCGTCTGGCGGCGCTCCTCGTCCGGGGAGAGGGACTCGTGGAAGGGCATGGCGGCGGCGGCGCGGCGCCGCTCCTCCAGCCGCAGCCAGCGCTGTACCAGTCCGGTGACGGTCAGCGCCGCTAGCAGAGCCGCGCCGGCCGCCGACAGCGCCGACAGCGCGCAGAACCAGCGGATGTACGCGTTGACGTACCAACGACGGCCGGCCAGCGCGCCCAGTGCGCCCGTCGTAGCGAACAGCAGCCAGAGCCAGGCGGCGGCGCCATGGCGCTGCGCCTCGGGCTCACGCCACAGCGCCAGCGCGCCGAACAGCAGCGCCAACGCCGCCAGCACCAGGTGCACCAGGCCCAGCCCCAGCACCGTGTCGGCCGAGTACTTGTGCTCACTGGGCGGCACCGGCCCGGGCCCAGCGGCGGCACGCAGTCGGATCACAAAGATCTCCTCCATGGCGCGTCAGCTGGCGACACTGCCGTGACGGACGTCTCATCGACAGCACTGCCTGTAGGTCTTCTCAGCCGGTGACGCTCGGCGCGGATTCTCAGCTTGATTCCACCTGCTCTAGCAGTCACCGGTGCCGCCAGTACTGGAGCCCAGTCACCGGTACCGCGCAGGCCACTCGTGGGAAGCTACGGCCTGGCTCGCAGTTCGCGATCAGTTCAGGTGAAAGGCCGCCTCAGACCCGCTTCCACTCCGCTGTGGCTCTCTGCAGTTCATCCAATCCGCGACATTCACCCATTCGAATAACTCCACCTTCAGTGTCTCTATATCCGGTATGAGGTCCTTGCGCAAGCGCAGGGTCGCTTCAGTCACTCAACCCCAGCGGCTCCCACGTCTACCGCCACGTCTACCCCACGTCACCGGCGCGGAGTCAGGGGTAGCCGGTGCCGCTGAGGAGGGCCCGCTGGCGACGCAGGTCGGACGGTGCGATCCGGCAGCAGCTGGATGCCACCATGCCGATGACGAGCAGGATGACGTTGATGACGCCGAGGCAGACCTCGCCGCCGCCGAGGATGTCGACGAGCAGGCCCGAGTGACGGCGCGTACCCAGGTGGCCGATGATGATCAGGCCGGCGCTGGCCAGCAGGCTGAGCGAGGACAGCACCAGGAAGCCTGCCGGTAGGCCGGAGGTAGATCACCGGGCTACACTTGACAGAACACAGGGGACCCACCAGGACCGGGCCATTCTCACCACACTGCATTTAACAGCACCGTCAGAGCATGTGTCGGAAGTGACCACTTAGTGAGGTGCATTCGGCGCCTTACTCGGAAGCCTTAATCTAGCCAGTGTAGAGGGATCCTGCCCCACCGACCGCAGCGAGTGTTTACAATGACGACAGCTGTGATTAGGGTCACTGTAACGGCAAATCATTAAAGGCACACGAAGTGTGTGGCTTAGCACTTCATTATGATACCGTGCCGGAAAACACCGCTTTAAGAACAGGGTCACTTTCACCTCGCGTAGCGAATGGACCAACACAATCAGCCAGACCAGCTGCGCACCATTCAAACGGCGCCAGCACCTACAGCGGGCCGTCACTCGCGCACCACAGCCGACGGCGGCGTCAGCGCTCGCCGCTCCCCGTCGAACTGGGACGCTTCCAGGGACGAGAGAGCCGGCGGGCTCTGTCGGCCTTCCTATGGCTGCACAAATCTATGGCCACCCCAGCGAGCGGGCGGCGCGAGCGGCGGTGTCGGACTTCGCGGCGCGGTCCCAGAGCAGCTGCTCCACGCTCACCGCGCACGAGAGGGCTCGCCTCACTGAGTGAGGCATGCCGTCCTGTGAAATGACGTGAACCTCACGCCTGGGCTGAGTGTCTTCAGCGGCCGGCGAGGTCTGGGCAGGGGTCTGCGATGCTGCTGTTGGCTTTTCATGCACACTCGTTCTGGCCATGTGGGAGACTCCTGCAGTCGCCGAGCCAAGCGTCTCGCGTGCCGCCCAACGGTATTGGTACCATTGCAAAGTGATGAAATATACCGGGCATGAATATTTTGTTGATCTACTGCAGGGTCACAATTGCAATGGCCAATTATGTGATCAATGGTGTTGCGGGGAAGGCTGCTCGCTTAGTTAAATCTAAATGGGTGGAGATTTTCCGCCATGGTGGCAATGCTAAACGTAGTGTCTAACAGAGACAAAACTGTCACTCTCCTGCACTGCCCTGGCCCGTCTGCCTGCATCCCCGAGATACACGTTCATGTCACGTAGAGCCGTGTAGACCGGTCGGTGAGTTGTATGATGCCTTCACGGCAGTGATGTTCGGCCCCAGCTCTGCCGCCAGCTGACCATGCGCAGCACCACACGTAAGGCGGCGCTGACCTGTCGCGCACCTCTGACGGCGGCGCAGCTGGTGAAGCGGCGGGCCGCAGCACCACACGTAAGGCGGCGCTGACCTGTCACGCACCTCTGACGGCGGCGCAGCTGGTGAAGCGACGGGCCGCCACCACTCCGGAAACGCCCGTCCAGAAGACGATCAGGCCAGAGATGGCCGCCGAGCCCAGGTAGAACTGGCCGCCGCCCTGCGGACAACAGCCGGCTCACGACACACGCACGTGAACAGCAGCGAGCAGTGGCGAAATAGAGGACGTGCACATGTACAATTTCAGTAAACAAACCAGAACGCAAAACATCGGCACTAAAAAACTGGTCCGCATTGTACCGTCCCGCAGAACACCGGTCAACTACTGTAAATAATTCGATAACAGGCAGACAAGATGCAACGCTTATGCTTACTAGATGAAGGTAGCTAATTAGCGTGGCACCTGTAGCACGAGCACACGTCTGTATCTACTTGTGAAAGCATGCCAAGTACCGTGCTAACCACAACTCCCCCGAGTTTTTTTTATTGTCTGGTCTCTTTATGGAGGCCAGCTAGGCCTATGTCGATCTGGCGTAAGGTATGCTACACTATCCCGTGCTTCGGTGCAACAAACTCTGGTGCGGAGAGATGCCGTACATTTGTCACACTCGCGTCACATGAGCCATGACAGAACAGCACATTCCGCACGTCACAAAACTGTCCGGCCGTCACCACAGCACCGGCCAAGGACAGTGTGGGTCGGGGACATGGACGGATGGTGGGTGACTATGAGGACAAGCACGAATACACACGGCCGGAAGTCACCACTCCACCCAACTGAAAGCTATGCAGGCGGGACGAGCTTTGCCTTCATTCACGTTTCATATGGCAGTGGTTCTGGATGAATGTCCCTGGATTACCTAACAAGAATCACGCTTAGGTGCGGTGACCAGGCTGACTGCAAAACGGCCTCAGGTTCTCCCGGTGACAATCTGGAGAGGCGCGACGAAGCTCCATGACGCGTACCAGGTCAAATGGCATGCTTCGCAGCTGCCGGCTCCGTCGTAACGCTCGGCGACGATGCCGGTATGCAGACGCGTGCGCTATTGCTTTGAGAGGGTGTGCGAACATTCTCCTATCCACCACTAAGGCACTGCTATCAAGGCCACTTGCCAGTTGTTGCTATATCTGAGCAAGCTTGCGCATCCACGAATGCATCCAACAAGTACACGATGCGCGTCATACCTTCAGCAGATAGCCGTAGACGCCGAGTAGAGAGGTGGCGACACCGCAGATTAGCAGCGATATGCCCACGGCTAGGGTGATGTTGGACACGGGGTCCTTGTCACGGGGTGGGCGCGCGTGTCGCGGGCGCACCAGCACGTCCCGGCCGCAGGGACAGCGGCGAATGTCGGCCGGGCCGCCGCCGTGGCCGCGTGCCTGCCGCGACCGCTGCTCGCACGACAGGTAACGCACCGACGATTGCAGGTTGTTCAGGCCGTGTACGGCGACGTTCTTGGCCTTGTAGTTGGGGCTCTTGGTGAAGAACACGTTCTCGCAGACGTTGTTGGCCACGATGTTGTCGACCTTCTTCATGTTGAGCGGCGGTGGTCGCTGCACAGGCGGGCAGCTGGAGGCGGTGGTGGCGGCCGGCGACGGCTGCTGGGTGTGAGAGCCGGCGCTACCCGTCCGGTGCCGGCGGCGCCCGGTCCGCGCTCTCGCCCGCCGCCCGCCGCCCGCAGCGGCACGGATGGCGGGCGGGGCGGCCGGTCGGACCGGGCGGGGCGGCCGCCCGCTTCCGGTGCTAGTTCCGGTCAGCTGGGCGGCAGCGGCCGGCCGAGCCGCGGCGCTGGGGGACGCGGCAGCGCGGCCACCGGTACTGCCAGGGGAGCAGGACCGCTGCCCGGTCACAGCCGGCTCCGTGCAGGCTGCGCCAGTGCACCGAGGGAGTTAACCACGTGCTGTCTCTGAATGTTGAGCTCATGCAAAGGCTGGAATGTGACATGTGCGGTTCCCGCCCTTCCTGCCAGGGCGAACGGCGGTTGACGTCATAAAGCCTCAGCAGCTGAGTGCGTCGTAAAGCCCCAATGACACATGTATCAAAAACCCATCCCAGTATTGGACTTGGAGACATCCTTGACAGTGAAAGGGTATTTATTACACATTATCTTAAATACGATTAATATTTCTGCAAAGAAGCTCGTTGTGGCTCCCTTTATTCAAAGATCTGATGTGCATAGTCAAGAACAAGAACACTCCTTTGAACACCCAGTGACCTGACCCAGCATGCTTTCCCGAAGTCTTTCCTGGAATAACCTCTGAATGCCTCAGGTCAGATTGTGTGAAACTGGTGCTTATGAAAAGCTCTTAACGTTTATACTGATATCTATAAAAGCTTGGTAGCCCTCTGGTGGCAGTGGGCTCGAGCCACTGAACTAGGTTGAAAGAGGTCAATCCAGGTCACTCTGATGTCACGTCACGCCATGGTAATTGATATGGTTTGTGTTATATTTGTAATGTGGCTTCAAAATATAGCGGAAAGGGTGTGTTCATGGAATCTAAAGGACATGACTAGTCCGCATAGGGGCGCGTTTATGCCACATATAATCCGATAGGGCTCCCAAGCTAACTCCAAGCTACATTATGCTTTGCATTCGATATGGGGTTCAAATAGTACAAGAAGCCTACTTTGTATGCCTTCTAGAGGTCTTCGTGCTCCACATTCAAGTCCCACACGCAGGACCGCAACCAGAGTCTTGGCAAGGGGGGCACAGTTTTGACAAAAGGCCCCCTGATAGTAAAAAAAA